ATCTTCGGAAAAGAGATTCTTCAAACAGCATATCATAACAGACCAAGTGTTGAGTCGACTGACCTAGACGTTGCTCTGAAGAGCCGAGCTCGCGTCATAAGCTGCTTGGCTGGCCTCCCGAGCCACCCTCACTTGCTCCATCATGATCCCCGCCTGGCGTATAGCCTCTTTTGCGGCAGCCGCTTGGTCCTCAGGGACAGGGTACGCGGCAAAAAGCGAAGGCGGATCCGCAGTCGACGTCGAAGGCCGCACACTTGTCAAAGGAATGGCGAAAGTCATAGAAGCCCGAGCGGTGTCACCACCATCCCGAGCTACGGCCTCAGACGCCGGAGCAGATTGGGGGGTCTTGTCAGCCGACGCCCTCTTGTTCCTCCTCACTCTCAGCGGTTCGTTGTCGTCGTCATCCGGGAGGTCGATAACATGAGGAGGGGCTACAAGGAAAACATTCAATCGACCAGAGTTGCAATAAATGTTCAGTCGACTCAAAGCGGAACGTCAGTAATCGTACCAGGGTTGGAGGTAACGGCATCCTCCATCTCTTGGTTGTCGTCCTTGGCGGAGATCTTAGAAGTAGCAACACTGCAAGTCTCGAAAGTCAATCAGTTGGCTCAATGAATCGACCAAGGATTTGTCCACGGTCGACAAAGGGAAACAAGTTTTATTATTACCCAGAAATGGTGGGGACGGCCATCTTCATCTTGGGCAGAGCCTTGGGCGGCTTGGACGGCGTCACGCGTGGGTGTTTGGGAGCCTTTCCAGTCGGCGTAGGAGAAGAGGTCCGAGGGCGTTTCGACGACTGCCCAACAGGAGCAGTCGCCCTACCACGCTCCCGCGCTGGGTCGTGTGTGAGCTTGGATCGCCCCTCCGGGCGGGGGGGTTCAACTTCCTCCTCCTCCTCTTCGCTGGAGTCGACGTCGTTGCCTCCCTCTCCTTCACCGTCGGACTCCCACTCGCCTTGATCGTCTCCGCTCTCACCTCCGCTCGCCTCCCCTTCCTCAGTTGGCCCCTGTGCCCCATTGGGCGTCGAGTACATCTCGGTAGTCGCCTGGAGAACAACAGACAAGACGAAAGTCAATCGACCTACTCAAAGAAGACCAATGAAGAAAACAAGATCTCAGTCAGGAGCATAAAGACATACCTGGTCCACGTCATACGAGTTGTCGAGTGGAATTACCCTCCTGACTCCTCGGGGGTTGTCTTTGTTCCCCGTGATGCTCGATAGCCACCCCTCCAGCATCTCGTCAGTAACCTCCTCCCGGTGGACCCGAGTGGTGTCGTCGAGACCAGAGTACAGCCATATCGGGTGGTCACGAGTCTGGAGCGGTTGGATGCGCCTCCGGAGGAAGACCTCCAGCAAGTCCATACAGTCACGCCCTCACGGACAAGCTCAACCACTCGACCAGCCAGTACTTTGACTTGGGCCTTTTCCTCCGGCGTCACTTTCAGAGAAGCAGGTTTTTCAGCTCGGTCAAGAGAGAAAGGGGGAAGTCCGGTCGACTGCCCTGGGGTCGCCTGGTCTTGACAGTAAAACAAGGTCGCCTGCCAACCGCGGACCGACTCCGGGAAAATGATAGATGGAAAACAACTCTTTCCCCTCGTCTGGATCGCCAGGCCCCCGCACAGCTGAATCACCTGCGTCCTTTCGTCACTCGACTTGGCCTTCTTGACCGATTGAGAACGGCAGGTAAAGATGTGCTTGAAGAGTCCCCAATGGGGGCGGCAACCCAAGAAACCCTCACACATGGAAATGAAAGCAGCAAGGTATACGATGGAGTTGGGAGTGAAGTGGTGGAGCTGCGCTCCGAAGAAGTTCAGAAAGCTCCGAAAAAAAATGATGGGGCGGCAGAGAAAACCCTCGGTCGATATGGGTGGCTAGGAGCACACACACTCACCGTCGCGAGGCTGAGGTTCGATCTCTCTCCACGGGAGACGCGCAGCTTCGTGGGGAATGACTCCCCCCTCGACCATGTCGTCGAGGTCTTCTTGCCGGACCACCGACGGCATCCAATCGCCCTGGATCCAGCCGCGGGGCAGAGCAGACCTTGAGGAAGATCCGCCCCGAGCAGATCTCTTCCCTTTCCCCTGCGCCGCCGCCTTCTTCGCGCGCTCCAGAGCGGATGTCTTGTCCTTCGCCATCGTCGCCGGCAAATCTCGCACGGGTCTGCGGCGCTAGGGTGAGAGCGGAGGTGGCGGAGGAGCTTGCGAAGGGAGAGAGGAAGAAGAGAGCACACTGTTTGGAAATCCCGAGCCGGCTACTTATAAGAGGCCGCTCCCGAGTGGCTGACTGGTAGGCCCAGGCAATCCAGTCAAATCCCGCAGCAGACGCGCGCGCAATACGTGGCGAAAAAGGTGGCACGGAAATTGAGGAGCTTCCGCTTTATCGCTTCCGATTACTGCGGCCGCTCCCGTCCCGCGCGCTTCCCGAAATCCGAATCCCACGACATCCGCGGACTGCAAAACAACTTGTCAAAACAAAAGTCCCCGCTCGCGCCGACACTCGGTATGTCACAAGTAAAGAAATTCACTCGACGAAAGGCCTGGAATGGATCAAAGCAACTGAAAGAGGTTGATGACGTCATCCGTGACGATTGACCCAAAACGAGGAACTCATGTAGCCCAAAGAACCAGTCGGAAGGATCTCCAACTCTTTCCCCACTCAAACCTCGATCCATTCGGGGGCTAATGATGAAGCTATGTACCTAGGATAGGGGCACGGACCTGTCCAAAGAGCCCTACCCAAGGACATCCCTAGAAGAAGTCACCTTTCAATCGACTTGAAGGTATCCCACTCGACGGGTTCAAGACACTCGACCAAGAAGCTATCACTCGACCATGAAGCCAACCACTCGACTGCCAGGAGACCTAAAGTCACTCCGCAGGCAAACGGTCGGCTATTAAGTAGTCTTTATGGTCATTATAGCACTTTATTAGGGGCGTTACCAGTAACGTCCAACCTTAAATGTACCTTAAACCCTGCATCACTGAGGGCAGGAGAGGGCCGGCGAACTCTATATAAGCCACCCCACTCCTCAGTATGAAGGGTTCGCACCCCTGTTGTTCATACACACATAATCCAATCGACCGCCTCCGGGCACCGAGGCGTAAGGCTGTTACTTCCTCCGAGAAGGGCCTGAACTCGTAATCCTCGTGTGTTTACAACTTTCCAATAGCTGAGATCTAGCCTCTCCATACACCCCCCCTACATCACTGTCAGAGTTAGAACCACGACAGCCGCCGCTGCCGCTGCCGCTGAGCGCCGCCCGGTCCCAGCAACGAGCTTTCTCGCCCGACAGTCGTTTTCAGTGCAGGCAAAGGGCCATTGACCGCACAACTTCAACGACAGAATCATTGCGCCATGGAACGGAAGCGAGGGATCTCCAGTGAGTCCCAGTCCCAGGTGTGAGGATGAGCGAGCGCGCACGCGTAGAACGAACGACGGGTCGCTGAATCCGCCTGCGCTTGGTATATATTCCTTGCTCATTGCTCGGCCCGTGCGTGTTAGTGCCGGACGCGACGCGCTGTCAGCGGCGCCTGGGAGGGAATCGCAGGCGGTCCACGCGGGTTTCATGCCCCTATCCGCAGGTTATTCCGTGGCCGCCTCGCTTTTCGGTGGAGCTTTGCGAGGCCGATCAGGCGTCAGTTCATGGCGGATCTCGCCGGCTTTTTTCAACCTGCGTCGGTCGCAGACGGCACCTTTTCTGGCTTTGCTGCCTCCGCCTGCCGCCTGTCACCTGAACGCACCCGTCGAGCCAATGGGTCTCGTGCCGTCGCATGCTGCCGCACAAGAGTGGAGATGCCACTCGCCCGTCCGTCCGTCCATTGGTGATGAACTGATGATATGCTGGTTCCACAGTTTACATTTGATGAGCTGCGATTTGCGGCAGGATTTTTCTTATTTGTCTCCGCAAATAGGTTTTGTACCTGTATTTGAATTTGTGTGCCATTGTTCTCGCAAAAAAAAAAAAATTGTGTGCCATTGTGCATTGATGCTTATTTTTTTTAGTTTTATTGTGCATTGATGTTGTTGTTTCTTTGGCCTTAGAGGGAAAAACTAGATTTTTGATTTTAATTTTTCTAAACATCATGATCATGACAAAGTATGTATGTCCTCATGATTGATCTGCTTTACTGAGTTTTTTTTGAGGTAGTGAGTTACCAAAGATAAGAGGTTGATTTTTAGGGGCTGTTTGATTTTAGGACTAGCGTTGTCACATTTTGCCATACATTGTTGTCAAGCTTGCATAAGGTTAGTTTATCAAAATGAAAGCCACAAGTTGACAAGTCTAAGGAAATCTTGCCACATTTTTTGTGTATATGCCATGTGGGATCCAAATGTGGCTTGCTTAAGGTGTGGCTTGAACTAACAAATGTTGACTGAGAAATAACTATGTCTAAGTGAAGTGAGCTATAGACATTCCCAATATAAAACCGGTTGAAATTTCTTCAGGTTCCAGAAGGCAGAGTTGCACTGTATATATCGAAGTGACTTTGCTGCAGTCTAATCGGGCAACTAATGCTCCTTTTTCCCTCGTTTACCATCGGAAACTGCAAGTCTTTTCATCACCCCCAAAAAAACATGAACGGTTAAGTTACCATTGGAAAGCGGAAATCCCCTTGAACGAGTGACTAAATTGAGTCAACTGCTGTGAACTTCCCCAAAAAGAGTCTTGAGGGCCGTCTTCATGCAACGAATAAAACCAAATTTTGGTAGTAGTATGAGTATACTAAAATTTTCTCAAACTCTGTTCTGATTTCTGAAACCAATCGAACTTTAAAAGAAAATCAGCACTGGGTTCTTGACAATCTTTTTTCAGGCTAAGTTAGTAACGGATATATGACCAAATTGAACACCAAGAAGACGCAGAGACAGCCCATTCAATCAATGCAAAATCAATAACTGATTCGGTAGACCGTATGTACAAGAGGAAAATTACAGTGCACCAGTTGGGTAGACTTTCCAAAGACAGAGGTCGAAAGCAGTCAGCCCCACCGGCGGCCGATCACAGGTTGTGCAGCGGGTTCGACCCCGTCGGCGCGAACCTCTTGTCGTCCCGGAAGAAGCCGCCGAACCGCCGCGGGGCGAAGGGAGCGATGGTGGTGGCGCGGCCGCCCCGAGTCTGACGGCCCACCGTCCTCCTCCGCTCCTGCCTCCACTGCTCCGCCGGCACCGGAGCCAAGACGCCGGTGCGTGATGCAGAGTCAGGGGCGGAAGGTGACGGGACGACGAGGAGCGACGCCCCCCTCAGCGCGAGAGGGATGAGGGAGAGCAGTACGAGAATCTTGACGCAGTTCATGCCGGCGGCTCCCTCTCTCTCTTTCTCTCTCGGCGTAGATATTGGTTGGGGCGGCGGAGTGAGCGGATATATGGGAGCGGCCGGTGAGTGAGAGGAGACGACAGTGGCGAGCATTGGCGTTGGTTGGCAACTTGCGTAAATGCGTAATCGGCAATGATGGACGGAATGGATGCAGTCATGCGGAGAGAGAAGAAACAGAGAGTGATTTGACGTAGGAGGGAGGGAGGGGGGAGCAATGAGCCAAAGGGGGAGCAGCTTTCTAGAGGAGCAAGTGAGCCCAGCGTCGCGTATTATTCGTACCGGTTTTCGATTGGACGGGTGAGGAATCATGAAATGACAGTGGCATCCCTCACTGGCTCACTGGCTCTCGCTCTCTCCTCCCGAAACAACTAAGTTGATGCGTGCAAAATAGTGGCATCCTGGCTTAACCCATGACACTGTCAGGGCATGATTGTTATGTGGAGGTGGATTCAGGGTGAGTAGTTCTGGATAGATCTAGGTTCTCATGGAGTGGAGTACCCACAAAAAGAAAAAGGTACTCATGGAGTAGTAGAGGTGTTATGTTGATGTATCAACTCACGGTTGATGAATAGATTGGAAGTTTTCTCGGGAAAAAAACAACTCACGGTGAAGGGTTGATACTTTTCTCCCTATAACATATTGATGAACATGCTTGTGCGTACTTGAGAAAAAAAGATTATAGCTGTGGCGTGACGATGAAGAAAAGAGAAGGCCTATACTAAAGACATCTTCAAGAATTTGTGCTTCAGTTCTGCAAAAAAAAATGTTTCTGCTAGAAGGGGATTCTTTGGAGAGTAGGAAATGGCCGAAGCATCAGAATTTGGCGTGACAACTAGATTCCTAGACCATTCAGTTTCAAACCGGTTACCACTCAGGGCACATGCAGAATCAGGTTTGTGGCGGATCTGCTTAATCCTAACGGCTCTTGGAATCTGGCCTTACTTCAACAATACTTCCTCCTAGCTGATGTTGTGGAAATCTCTAAAATTAGAGCATCCCCGAGACAGGAGGAAGACATCATTGCTTGGGGGCCAGGCAAACAAGGTGTATTCTCTATGAAAAGCGCTTACAACTTTGCGTTTGAAGAGGTTTATCGATATGCAGAATCGGCCTCCAGTTCAGCCCCGGATGGTAGATGAAAAGGATGGCAGCTGATATGGAAATGTGACATACCCCCTTCAGCCCGTAACTTTGCTTGGAGAGTGGCAGTTGATTCTTTGCCAACCTGGCAAAATAAGCATAAACGCGGGCTGGAAACATTTGAACTCTGTACGCTTTGTGCTACAGAACTTGAAGATAATTTTCACCCATTTTTGCGGTGCCCTCTTGGCCGGAATTTATGGCATACAATGGCGGAGGTCTGGTCCCTGCCAGATATCAATATGGTAGAGCATACAGGGAAAGAGTGGTTGTTGCATGCTTCGGATCCTATGTCCGATGTTGATCGTTCCATGTTACTGATGACCTTGTGGCGTACTTAGTTTGTCCGGAATGAGGTGGTCTACCATAAACCCCCACCTCCGGCTGAGTCCTCGAAAAGGTTCCTGGTGAGCTATCTCGATTCCCTGCTAGGACTTAAAACTGATACATGCAACTATCAGGGAAAGGGTAAGACTCCTATTGCTACACCAGTGGTGAGCTCCAAATTCCACGCATATTGGTCGATGGAAATTGCCGGATGCTGGTTGGGTCAAGTTGAACACAGATGGATCGGTTGGTGAATATGGTAGTGCTGGTGCTGTCATGGTCCTTAGGGACGACAAGGGAGCTATTATTTTTTCATCATGTCGAGCGCTTTTCTCTTGCAGAGATGTGTTGGAAGCTGAGCTATGTGCGTGCATGGAAGGTCTCTCTTTGGCGATCCAACGCACCGAGCTACCAATTATTGTGGAGATGGATTCTATGGTTGCCATGATGATGATTCGGGCGCAAGGAGTGGATAGATCCTTATATTCAGCCATTGTAAGAGAGATTAAGTATATTTTGAGTCTACATAGGTCTTGGATTACTTTTGCTAGTCGTTCTCAGAATAAGGTTAGCAACAGTCTAGCTTCTTTTGCGAGGATTGAAGATAGGATTATGACTTGGTTTGGTTCAGGACCTTCAATAGCTGTAGAGCTAGCCCTCGCTGATTGTAACTCCTTTGTTTTTGAGTAATACAAGTCTTCTACCCGCAAAAAAAGAAACTTAGAGCAACATCAGCTATCCGATGCCTCCCAGCTACGTCGCGCCGAGGGGAGGGTCTCGCAGGGCAACCTTCTTCAAGTGAACCCATAGTTTTTTATGCAGTCGCGGGCTCATATGTGAAGGAAATATGCCCTAGAGGCAATAATAAAGTTGTTATTTATATTTCCTTATATCATGATAAATGTTTATTATTCATGCTAGAATTGTATTAACCGGAAACTTAGTACATGTGTGAATACATAGACAAACAGAGTGTCACTAGTACGCCTCTACTTGACTATCTCATTAATCAAAGATGGTTAAGTTTCCTAGCCATGGACACGAGTTTTTATTTGATGAACGGGATCACATCATTAGAGAATGATGTGATTGACATGACCCATCCGTTAGCTTAGCACTTTGATCGTTTAGTTTACTGCTATTGCTTTCTTCATGACTTATACATGTTCCTATGACTATGAGATTATGCAACTCCTGAATATCGGAGGAACACTTAGTGTGCTATCAAATGTCACAATGTAACTGAGTGATTATAAAGATGCTCTACAGGTGTCTCCGATGGTGTTTGTTGAGTTGGCATAGATCGAGATTAGGATTTGTCACTCCGATTCTCGGAGAGGTATCTCTGGGCCCTCTCGGTAATGCACATCACTATAAGCCTTGCAAGCTATGTGACTAATGACTTAGTTGCGGGATGTTGCATTACGGAACGAGTAAAGAGACTTGCCGGTAACAAGATTGAACAAGGTATGATGATAGTGACGATCGAATCTCGGGCAAGTAACATACCGATGACAAAGGGAACTGCTACCTCTTGAGCATGTGTTGGTTTTACCTTGAAGAGGAAAGGGTGATGCAGCAAAGTAGCGTAAGTATTCCCCTCAGTTTTTGAGAACCAAGGTATCAATCCAGTAGGAGACCACACGCGACTCACCTCGTACCTACACAAACAAATAAGAACCTCGCAACCAACACGATAAAGGGGTTGTCAATCCCTTCACGGCCACTTGCAAGAGTGAGATCTGATAGAGATAATAATAATAAGATAAATATTTTTGGTATTTTTATGATATAGATTGAAAGTAAAGATTGCAAAATAAAATAGATTGGAAACTTGTATGATGGAAAATAGACCCGGGGGCCATAGGTCTCACTAGTGGCTTCTCTCAAGATAGCATAAGTATTACGGTGGGTGAACAAATTACTATCGAGCAATTGATAGAAAAGCGAATAATTATGAGAATATCTAGGTATGATCATGTATATTGGCATAACGTCCGTGACAAGTAGACCGACTCCTGCCTGCATCTACTACTATTACTACACACATCAATCGCTATCCAGCATGCATCTAGAGTATTAAGTTCATAAGAACAGAGTAACGCTTTAAGCAAGATGACATGATGTAGAGGGATAAACTCATGCAATATGATATAAACCCCATCTTTTTATCCTCGATGGCAACAATACAATACGTGTCATTTCCCTTTCTGTCACTGGGATCGAACACCGCAAGATTGAACCCAAAGCTAAGCACTTCTCCCATTGCAAGAAAGATCAATCTAGTAGGCCAAACCAAACTGAAAATTCGAATAGACTTGCAAAGATAACCAATCATACATAAAAGAATTCAGAGAAGATTCAAATATTATTCGTAGATAATCTTGATCATAAACCCACAATTCATCGGATCTCGACAAACACACCGCAAAAGAAGATTACATCGAATAGATCTCCAAGAGAATCAAGGAGAACTTTGTATTGAGATCCAAAGAGAGAGAAGAAGCCATCTAGCTAATAACTATGGACCCGAAGGTCTGAGGTAAACTACTCACACATCATCAGAGGGGCCATGGAGTTGATGTAGAGGCCCTCCGTGATCAATGCCCCCTCCGGTGGAGCTCCGAAAAAGGCCCCAAGATGGGATCTCTTGGGTACAGAAGGTTGGGGCGGTGGAATTAGGTTTTCATGGTGCTCTCTGATGTTTTCAGGGTACATATGTATATATAGGAGGAAGAAGTAGGTCGGTGCAGCCACGAGGGGCCCACGAGGGGCCCATGAGGGTGGAGGGCGCGCCCAGGGGGTAGGCGTGCCCCCTGCCTCGTGGCCTCCTTGTTGATTGCTTGACGTCCACTCCAAGTCCTCTGGATCACGTTTGTTCCAAAAATCATGCCCCTGAAGGTTTCATTCCGTTTGGACTCCGTTTGATATTCTTTTTCTGCGGAACACTGAAATAGGCAAAAAACAGCAATTTGGGCTGGGCCTCCGGTTAATAGGCTAGTCCCCAAAATAATATAGAAGTGTATAAATAAGCCCATTAAACATCCAAAACAGAATATATAATAGCATGGAACAATCGAAAATTATAGATACGTTGGAGACGTATCAAGCATCCCCAAGCTTAATTCCCGCTCTTCCTCGAGTAGGTAAATGATAAAAACAGAATTTTTGATGTGGAATGCTTCCTAACATATTTCTCAATGTAATTTTCTTTATTGTGGCATGAATGTTCAGATCCGAAAGATTCAAGATAAAAGTTTAATATTGACATAAAAATAATAATACTTCAAGCATACTAACTAAGCAATCATGTCTTCTCAAAATAACATGGCCAAAGAAAGTTCATCCCTACAAAATCATATAGTTTGGTCATGCTTCATTTTCGTCACACAAGAATGCTCTCATCATGCACAACCCCGATGACAAGCCAAGCAATTGTTTCATACTTTAGTAATCTCAAACTTTTTTCAACTTTCACGCAATACATGAGCGTGAGCCATGGATATAGCACT